CGTATCAACGAGGATGTGAAAAAAATCAAGACGTCTATAGACTCGTTGATACCGCCACTCTCATACGCTGGGAACAGTTTTGGGGACGGAACCCAATGATGGCCGACAATCTCGGTCCGAAGCTCTTAAAGGGATAGCACTCTACTTTCGCCAATTCAAAACGTTAGGCAACATGATAGATAGGAAGTCATCTTGGGTACTCGGCTCCTACACAATGTGCCGCACGTCAGCCGGTTCTGGCGCCTTGATCTCTTCGAATACTCGACATCGCGGCATTTACCATTACGATGATGTGACTGTCTCATCTCACGACGGCCGTCGGTTGGTCAGGCCATGTCGCAGCGAACCCTTCGGGCCTGATGAGCGTCACAATGCCCTCAATGCTTTCTATCCGAACTTGACCAACACGGGTTGGGCTCAGAGTCGTTCTTACTGTGTACAAGCCACCATAGTCATTATTAGGAGAACATGGCCACTGTCAAAACCGATTACGGATATGTTCAAGGAGCTCTCGATTGCACGCTCCCACTCGCACTGTCGTATACCATCCTGACCCCACGTTTTTGTTTGCAAACCAGTCGCTTAAGCCGTTACTAGAGGTCTGCGGAAGCCCATCGCATTAGTTTGAGGCTTCATAAACACTGAGAATATTCTCGAGACGGGAAGCGACATGTGCACAATACTGTGGTTGCTTGGGTTCACGCGTAGGCTGGGGAGATGCAACCCAGATGAACTTTTAGTATATCCTGCTGCCGGGCTCTCTCGTACAAGATATCACGTCGAAAACGTGTCATAACTCTCGATCTACCATGGCCTCCTCCCGGCAGCCCTTCAGAAAATTTCAATAGGCGAACAAACGCGAAGCACGATGTTTCTGTACGTTGACCTCCGGCTTCCAGCTGTCTACTCCTCTTTCACGGCGGAGTCTCATTTCGAAACGGGTGTCGCGGCTGTGATCGTACCGATGCTCGGGGATTGTGATTACAGAGACGGTCTGCTGGCCGGTCGCGACGGCCATTGCTTCGACTTAAGTTTCGAGCTTATACGTTATTGTGCTGATCGAGAATCTGGTTTCGGGATAACTGACCTCAGCATTTGCGGTTTTCAACAGGTAAGTGCCGAATTTCGTGCAGCAAACGGGGTATCATACTTAGCATTACGTTCTCCCAAAAGACCATGGTTCAAACTCGTCGAGAAAGCCCCTCGAATCTCGGAACTATTGGAATATGCACAGCGGCCACCGGAACCATGGAAGCATGTGTCAGCATTTCCGGTGGGTAGCTAGATGAGAACCGCTTTTCAGTTGTTGAGAAGACCAGCAAGACGCATCAATTTGACGATGCTTTCCACGAGTAAGGGTATGTATGGAAGACAACGGATTCATGACGATGAATGGAAGTCGAACGATCCAGGCAGCTAGCCGAACTATTCATAGCTTCAAGCTTTCGTTCCATCAGGTCTTACACCAACGCTGACCTAGCACATCGATGAGAGTGGGCCGCCTTTGGGCGAGGCAGGAGCCTCAAGCACGGCCTGACTAAAGGAGCAAGGGGACGTTCTTGCAATGGAGGCGTTAGACCCGTATACTGAAGTTACCTCCAACCCTTTAATACTAGTCCATCCGCCTGTGGCTCTGGCTTCTTACTGCTGGGGGTTGAGCGGGGGACGACTGGGCCTCAGTTCCGCGCGCCTTTCCG